ATAGCAAGTTCCTGCTTGAGACTCTCATTTTCAGATTTCAACTCATTGAAATCTGAAACAATTTTGTCGAACTTTGATGACAAAAAATCTTGAGATTTTTCGATAGCATTAGTGATGGCTTGGACCTCCGATCTAACAGCACTTAGTTCAGCACAAAAAATTTGAGATATTGTGGTCTTCAACGCAGCACTAACCGAAGAAATAACGGAGATTTTAAGGTCTCTCATTTCTGTAATCCGTTTGTATATTTCCGCGCATTTTGCGGAACAGAAATACATGTTTTGCTGTATGCGTTGAACCGCACCACCAACAATATTTTTGCATTTAAAATGCCAACTTGAAAAACAATACATGCAGGTTATACAATTTTTTTAATCTAATTCCACTTTCTTGCACACTACACACAGAATATCGGTAACATCCATCCTAAACTCTTATTGTATATAAATAAATAAATAAATAAATAAATCAATAAATAAATAAATAAATAAATAAATCAATAAATAAATACACTGCAAATGAAAAATCAATAAATATAGCATAAACATACAACAATTTGACTAGCAATTTCTGAAAACTTTTTCATGAATTATGGTGAACAAAATGCACCGCCACAACACAGACGGAAAAATATGAAAACTATACAATTGACGATAAATTATTGATCTCTAAGTGCTACGAATATTCGATTAACATGAAAAAAGGTTGATCCATCTGATCATTCACTACACTGCGGTATGTCAAATCCCCACAGTCGACGATAGCAACATTGATATTATTCATGAGCATACAATTAATGTTTGTTGAGCTAAAGTGTATGATCTGGTCGATCCCCCAAATAAAGGTCCCACGGCAAGCTACTTGTCAAAACAAGTCGCTGTCTCCAACCACTTCACTTTCCATCCAACCGTTAAATCTGTCTCTTTCCGACCACAGCAGTCCCAAACTACATGCAAACTGTCTGAGCACAGCCGAATGCAATGAGAGCTATAGCCCTTGCCTGCAAGACAGAACCACAACAAAGTTTCTTTCCCTGTGTACAATCGAGACGTACTAGATCAACAGTCGATTCGAGCAGTATCTCGTATGACGTTCGCACCACGGAACAGAGCAAATTACTCGCGATAAGAGGAAGATTGAACACAACAACAACAGCAGCCAACCAACAACAACAGCAAGCAGCACAAAAGAAAGCACTATTACTATCTCAAACACATGAGGCAGACTTCGAGTAGCTACTGAATGACCTGAAGATCACAGTGAAAGTATCAAATTATTTCACTTTTTATGACTTTTTTTGAAAAAGTATAACACTTCCAGAGAACAAGAATTGTCTTCACTTCAACACCACAATAACTTATGGAATTTATATACACCTGTTCACAATAATTTCATTAATTAAGATAGACAAAATAAAATACTGTATAAACCATTACAAACAGTGTTGCTTGTTGAAAACGTCAACCGTCGCCAGGCAGGCCTTCTTGATGGTGATAACCTCGGAGTTCTTCTTGGAGCACATGATGTACCCGATTGGGACGCTGATGTCCACCGTAACGAAGCTCTTGTCCTTGACGAAGGCTCACCATGATTCACAGAATTCACCCGGGAAGATGTCCTTGGAGAAGAAGCCCAACGTTTTGCCATCCTTGGATCCCTTGATCGCCTCCAGCAGCTTTTCAAAATTGGCCTTGTCTTTGTCGTTCTTATCCCGAGCCAACAGCTTCATCGACGGAATGCTATCCTCACCGTTCTTCTCGATCTGCTTCAAGAAGTCGATATTCTTGCTGGTCAGAAAAATGATGGACCGTAATCGCATGAGTAAGCTCGTATTCCAGCAGCCAGGTCTGCAGCAAGGTGGATTTGCTGAAGATGGTTTCCTAGTCTACGCCGATCTACGTCAGAATACAATCCACCTTCTGCAGAGAATCATCATGGGAAAACTCTGACTCCTTCCAGTTGGCGAAGAGGCGTTTTGTTCGTCGGTTGAAGGAATCCTTATCGAGCACGATATTCGACAAAACATTCAAGCTGTCAGAAATACCGGGTTGCCAAATATTCCATAATATTCGTAGTTTTAAAAAAATTGCAGCTTGCTGTATGACTGGCACAATCAGCTCACCTTCGGCACACTGAGAAAAATGTTGATCCAAGATTGGTGTGCGGAGTGACCTGCTCCTTGGCAACGCCTCTTCTGAGCAAAAGTGGAACCTATGTATGATGGTGTCGTGCAGCAGCTGCCGAATGAGGCCAATGATGCCATTCACAATCATCGTGGGACCATCCTCGATCATTAATTTGCTATCTCTGAATTATCTTCCACTTTTCCAAAACCCTTTAGTGATGCATTTATGGACATTCGTATGGTGCATTAGTAAAATGCATGCGCTGCACGGCGTTGACACCTGGTCACAGCGGGGGAGTTAAGTTGTGACGCTCGGCAACTTGGCACAGTACTCGCTGACCATTTGAATGTCACTGTTGTTATCATTCTCTGAAAGGGGTTTTATCCATTCCGAGAATTGTTAAACCATACAGGGGATCACTATCCGGTGGTTTCATGTTCTGACAACATCTAAAATGGAAATATATTCTTTATCAATACGTACAGTTTGGGATTTTAGGCCTTTTATTTTTCATTATCATTTTCTCCAACATTAGTGGGTACCGGATCTTTATTCCTTTTGAATCCTTTAATTTCCAGCAGCTTCCGAATGACGGTAGTTCACCCAATGGTGGTGGAAGTTTCTCAGGGCGCCGCCAATTTCTTATAATTGATTGCTTCCAACAGGCAAAGTAAACAATATTCCGGTTCCTCATTCACAAGTAAAAGTTACTTTTACTAGGTATCGATCCGAGTTTCTATCCTCCACGTGATCCACCATAACAAGTTTCTCGGTTTGGAGTTGGAAAACCACCGGCTTGCTGTGATTAGGATACAAATCGCCGTGAAATTTTGTAGAGCAAAACAAAAACAACAACGAGTACCGTGTTGTGATTATTCGTTTCGGTGACATTAGGTCACACACACACACAGTCACTGTTTATAGTCCATTCTATGTGCGCGAGTATTGACGGTCCGAAAGTTAGGATAACAATAACAAACCAACATTTTTGGCTGGGACTAAAGTGAGGAAAACAAACTTCGCACTTGAAAATGGGATTACGCAAGTGTGTGTAATATAAACGTCAGAAAGCTCAATGTGCAGTCTCACTAACACACTGTACCAAACCACCGTCCTCAATTCGAATGAAACCTCAGACGATTCAAAACGAAACATCGAAATCGCCTTTTCGAATGAGAGCTGCAACCGGATGACGGTTGTTTTGAAATCAGATGATTTTCCTCTCGAATACAGGATGGACATTGTTATGAAAAGGGATAGGGCTCAGTTGGAATGCGTAATGCTCTCTGCAGAATGGTAGTCATCTTAAATTGAAATTAATTTGGTATTGGCTCAGCCCCTTAACACAAATCATTCAAAACGATGATGTAAATAATTCGATCGAATGTCATTTGCTGCTCTGAATAGACAAACGAGTTGGAAGCATAGCCATCGCTATCAGAGGTGGTACGAGCATTGGTAAAGCGTGGAAACCGTAAATTGTCTATTTCGTGGTGGAGGAAGATTGCTCTACCAACCAACAAGGAATTTTGTATCCATGATGAATGGCTGTTCATGGCTATTTAACATGGAAATGTAAACAATCGAATTAATAATCTAATCTAAAGCATTTATAAGTCATCCTATCCTTAAATTGTTGTCCTCTGAGTCCTGTATATTTTACAGCCAATTTTCAAATAAATATCATCCTTTATTTGGAGGACAGTCATATGGATGCTCATCAGTTGATGACGAATTCAACCATAAGGAAATCATCCAAAATTCAACAGCATATGGTTAAAGGGCTCAAGCAATACAATAATCAGTCGAAGTATTGCGGATGTTTTCGTTCAGTGCACTTGTACTTCAATGTTCCACCTTTGATTGACAGAGGCGCTGTTATCAGTGAAGTTTGACATTTGTATGGGAGAAGGGAACAGTTTCCAGTCTTCTTGATTTGTAGTCTTCGATAAAATGGGAATTTAGGAATTAAAAAACAGGTTATGCATAATTCAATTATCGGCAATGACCATTTCGTTGCGCTTTATTACGTCCCATTATTTAACATAAGTTAATTGAGAGCATTCTATGCCTGTACTATTTCTGCTAGACCTGTGCGCCGCCGCGCCACGCCACCGCCGCCGAAACTTTTTAACATGCCGCTGCCGCCAACGTTTTTGAGTTGTACAATTTTTGATACGCTGGCAATGTAATTTTTTTTTATCTAGTTCGTATATTCAATAGCGTTAGCTTTACGGAGCCGATAATTCATTGTTCATTATTTGTAACAAAATTCACTTATATCTATGTCTAGTCACTCGAACAGTCTAGTCTAGAACACTCGCGGCCTTCCCGAAGTTAGAAGGGTACATTGTCGAAGGATAGGATCAGGAGCTTGTGGGTGGGATTTCGTTGTCTCATCAGAGCGTTGTCGCCAGTATGAACGGTAGTGCGGTTCTAGTTTCGTCTGGAGTTCGACCGGCTATAGGGACCAGTGGGCGACGATGAGACTCATCGAGACGGGGGACAAGACAATTATTAAGATTATCGCATATTACTCAAAACTCCACAGGTACTAATTGAGAGCATTCGATGACTGCACCATTTTTGCATTAGTATAATAGTGTGGCAAGTACAATCATACTCCACCCCCAGGAAAGTCAAAAAATTTTCCAACTCGAAAAAATCCTAGACCAGACCGGGAATCTAGCCCAGCCACCTCCAGCATGGACTTGCTTTGTAGCTGCGCCTTTACCGACTGAGCTAAAGGAGACCTCACATGAGAGATTAAGTTTAGACCATCCCCTTTGACGGGAATCGGTAGACTTTACATTACGTGATCGGAACACAAACTAACCAAGCCTCTATTCCCTTTCACCTCCCCAACACCCCCAGGAATGCGCAACATCGAGGACCTCCAGAGCTGTGCCGTCTTCGCTCGGGACCGCATCAACCCGTACCTGTTCAACTATGCCCTCTCGGTGGCCCTGCTGCACCGCCGCGACACCAAGGACCTAGATCTGCCGTCGATCATCGAAGTCTTCCCGGACAAGTACGTCGATTCACGGGTCTTCGAACAGATCCGCGAGGAAGCGACCGTCGTGCCGGAGGGAATGCGAATGCCCATCGTCATCCCGAAGGACTTTACCGCTTCCGATCTGGACGAGGAACACCGGCTGTGGTACTTCCGTGAGGACATCGGTGTCAATCTGCACCACTGGCACTGGCATCTGGTGTACCCGTTCGAGGCATCCAACCGTGCCATCGTGGACAAGGATCGCCGGGGGGAGCTGTTCTACTTCATGCACTCGCAGTTGATCGCCAGGTACAACTTCGAGCGGCTCTGCAATCGACTGCAGCGAGTTAAACGACTCAACAATCTACGCGAACCGATCGCCGAGGGATACTTCCCGAAACTGGACTCGCTGGTAGCGTCCCGTACCTGGCCCGGACGGGTCGACAATGCGGTAATTAAGGACCTGAACCGCGAGCTGGATCAGATCAAGCAGGACGTATCGGATTTGGAACGTTGGATCGATCGCATCTACGAAGCGGTCCACCAAGGGTACGTCGTTGATGAATCCGGCAATCGCATCAACTTGGACGAGGAGAAGGGCATCGACATTCTGGGCAACATCATCGAGTCATCGATCCTGTCACCGAATCGTCAGCTCTACGGGGACATGCACAACGTCGGGCATGTGTTCCTGTCGTACACGCACGATCCGGACCATCGGCATCTGGAGTCGTTCGGCGTGATGGGTGACGTAGCTACGGCCATGCGTGATCCGGTGTTCTACCGTTGGCACGCGTTCATCGACGACATCTTCCAGGAGTACAAAATCAAGCTGCCACCGTACACCAAGAGCCAGGTAGGTTGCATAAGGGTGGCTAAACGGTAGTTGTTTGATGACGCGACGGTTTTCGATTTCCGCAGTTGACGTACGAAGGCATTTCGGTGACGGGAATCGCCGTTCAATCGGAAGGAGCTCCAACCAACACGATGCACACCTACTGGCAGCAATCAGATGTGGACCTATCGCGTGGTATGGACTTTGTTCCCCGTGGTAACGTATTCGCCAGGTGAGTACGTGAGTGGGCCTAATGATGGCGACGCGACGGGGCTAATGCGATTCAAATTGAAATCCAATGACATGTGTGACCTCTCATAATAATTACCGTTTCTGAACCGATGGGTGATTTCGTTTGCGGGGTGGATATTTGATACACGATAATTACACCAACACGAAATCGAACCAGGCCTAATGAGGGAACATTTCATTACGCATATGGGCAAACTTAAGCGAAGCTAGGAATGGTGTGAGCTGGATAATATTTGCGTCCTGGTTTCAAATCGATTGGCCCTCTCGGGCATGGGTTCAGTAAATGATATTTTGATATCGGTGCCTTCGGGGAAACCGTGTGGAATGGTTTGAAGTTCATTTAGTCAAGCTTCGCATTCATTTTTTGCTGTTGTTTGCGGTGAAATCGATCGGAAATTACGCATAATATGTTTTCCGTTAGCCAGTCATAAAATCTAGAAACCCCCTTCACAGACTACAAAATAGAGTACTTGACAGTGGAAACATGTCTGACAATACATGAATTTAGATTCACATCTGAAGTCCCTACTTTTTTGCATACTCAGCCAGCACAAATATGCTTTCTAAGTCCCGCCCCTAACAGGATTTCTCGTCGTTTTTATAAATGGGGCGCAGCTTAGAAAGATTTTTTTGTGATGTGTATGCAAAAAAGGAAGGACTTCCCATCAACTCATGGACCGGGAACCAACGGCTTTACTTCCCCTGATTAGAGATTTTTTATGCCTCAGAAAATCCCAACGAGACCGACTGGCATTTAACTCAGCCCCTTTGGAGTGAGAAGCAGTCACATTTTTCTTGATCGATAATTGTTAATTAAGCGTAACAGGTCTTCAGTCCTTCTAACAACTTCTAGTGGTCTTCTGAATGGTGATGTGTCATTAGGCCGAATGGCTGAAATGTGTATAGTTTTTCACTTTTCGAAATACGACATCTACGTTGCTTCAATTTTAGGAAATACTTCATGAAGTCCAAATACAGCTGATATGATGACGGACTTGCTCCATCACTTCAAATTGTGTAGAGTACAAATCTCGGAAACTACAGCAGCTTCACACTTTTCCAATGCAACCATAATTGTGATATGTGATATTTGTGCTCTTAATTATTCTAAGTAAAGATGGGCTTTATCAGAAATAAGAACTTAACAGAGCTTCACCTTAAAAAGAATCAGCAGCAAATAAAAAAAGCCACATTTAGTTGATGCATTAAACCTCCAAGATGTCCAAAAGCCTTAAAAATAAACCGCTCATGTTTCAAAGAAGTTTCAAATCTGCTATGAAAAATCTTAAGTAAGAAATATCATCAGAAGAAAACTTTGAAACATGTTTGAAAAATCAAAGGCAAAATCATCTGAAATCTGTTCCTGACGCCTCTCAAATATTGTCAAAGTCTTAATTCTTAAAATATTTTCTATTCTATCTTAAAATTTGTTCAAAATTATATAATCTGGCTTCCTAATTGGCAAACTTTAAATATGGGAAAAGTGTGGCTACCTTTGAATATAATTCTTAAAATTATTCAAGGACACAGAATTATGAAAATTAATCCCACATATTTTCATATTTATTCAAAGATCCTGAATCTTTGAATATTTATTCAAGTTCAAGATTCAACCTTCACGTCCCTAACATCTAGATTTGGTTAGATTTACTAATTAAATTGGCTCTAACAAAATCATTTAAAATAATTTCCTGCACATCAAGTTGTATTTTGTCAAGAATGTTATCAGGTTTTAGAATCCGTAAAGAAAATTATGGTTCATTACATGATACCGGAGTTACTCCGGGTTCAGTTGCGATCATTCTGGCTCGGCATTTGGCTTGACTGTTCTGTTATAGTTGTAAATATGGTTAACATGAGGTTTTCTCACTCAAATGATAAAATTGGACCAACGTTTGCTGTATCGATAGTCCATGGCCACATCGGTTTCCGATGCCCTCGGGAAAGTGGCCAATTCTCGAAAAGAACTAAAACCTGCCATGCGACATATCAAACTTCATTAGTTTTCAAAATTCGCCTTGGTCAGGCCTTATTGGGAGTCCACGGCCACATTGGCCCACCCCGGAATGATCCGGTGCCCTCGAGACAGTCGCCAGTTCTCAAAAAAACCATGCGACATATCAAACTGCATGATTTTTCAAAACTCGCCTTGTAAAGACCTTATTGAGAGTCCGCGGCCACATTGCCCGTCCAGGGAATGTTCTGGTACCCCCGGAAAAGTGGCCAATTCTCTAAAATAACCGGAACCTGCCATGCGACACATCAAACTTCATGATTTTTCAAAACCGCGGCCACAGTGGCCCTCCCGGAAATGATCTGGTGCCCTCGGGGAAGTAGCCAATTCTCGAAAAGAACCGAATCCTGTCATGCGACATATCAAACTTCATGATTTTTCAAAACTGGCCCTGTAAAGGCCTTATTGAGAGTCGTTAGCCTTATTGACCGTCCCGCTAATGTTTCGATGCCTTCGAGGAAGTGGCTTATTCTCGAAAAGAACCGAATCCTGCCATGCCTGCCAAACTACATGATTTTCAAAACTCGGCCAGTAGATACCTTTTTGAGAGTCCACGGCCACATTGGCTCTCCCGGGAATGATCTGGTGCCCTCAAGGGAGTGACCAACTCTCGAAAAGAATCGAAACCTGCCATGTGACACATCCCGGGAATGATCCGGTGCCCTCGGGCAAGTGGCTAATTCTCGAAATGAACCGAAATCTGCCATGCGACACATCCCGGGAACTATCCGGTGCCCTCGAGAGAGTGATCAATTCTCTATAATTACCGAAACCTCCCATGCGAAATTTCCAACATCATGATTTTTCAGATCTCGGTCAGTAGAGACCTTTTTGGGAGTCCACGGTCACATTGCCCCCCGGGAATGATCCGGTGGCAAGTGGCAATTCTCGAAATGAGCCGAAACCTGCCATGCGACACATCAAGCTTCATGATTTTTCAAAACTCGGCCAGTAGAAGCCTTTTTGAGAGCCCGCGGCCACATTGGCCCTCCCGGGAATGATCCGGTGCCCTCGAGGGAGTGACCAACTCTCGAAAAGAATCGAAACCTGCCATGCGACATATCCAACTTCATGATTTTTCAGACCTCGGTCAGTAGAGACCTTTTTGGGAGTCCACGGCCACATTAACCCCATTTAATCAACCCTCTCGAGGGAATTTCTTCTACCCTCTTGGAGGAATGTCTTCTATCTTCTCGGAGGAATTTCTTCTACCTTCTCGGAGGAATTTGTTCAATCTTCTCGGAGGAATTTCTTCTACCTTCTCGGAGGAATTTGTTCTACCTTCTCGGAGGAATGTCTTCTACCCTCTCGGAGGAATTTCTTCTACCTTCTCGGAGGAATTTCTTCTACCTTCTCGGAGGAATTTGTTCTACCTTCTCGGAGGAATGTCTTCTACCTTGTCGGAAGAATGTCTTCTACCTTTTCGAAGGAATTTCTTCTACCTATTCGGAGGAATTGTTTCTACCTTCTCGGAGGAATGTCTTCTACCCTCTCGGAGAAATTTCATCTACCCTGTCAGAGAATTTCAACTGCCCTCTCAGGGAGCGCCAGTAGTATCCAAGAGGACGGTTCTCACTAACCGAGTTGCACCATTGTCGTGACTGGACCGAGGTTTCCAGCCTCGGTCACGGTTCCACGAATCTACCGCTCAGCTGGTGGTCCGATGTAGTAACCGTACCGAGGTTTCCAGCCTCAGTCACGGTTCCACAAATCTGCTGCTACCTCTGTTGGTCCGCTAGTGCCGCTTTCCCTTCTTCTGGTTGTCTCTCCACAGTCCGTCATGAGAATGCCGTCAACGAGCTTAGGTACCTCATATTTGTACCTCTAGCTGGATCAAACTTCCCGGACCAATCAGATTCCGTTTACATACGGTCTATCACGCTTCACGCTCACTCGATTCTACTCATTTCTATTCCACACTAACTCTATCTACTACAGTCTTCAAGACCGCAACTATTGGTCTACATGGTCACTTTTAGTGATCTTCAGGACCACTACTAGTGGCCCTCAATTCTGCTTCCAGTGGTTCTCTATCACTGTTTCTACTGATCTTTAGGGCCAACGCTAGCGGTCTTCAGGACTGCTTTTAGTGGTCTTCAAAATCACTTCTAGGGGTGTTCAAAACTACTGCAAGTGGTCTTCTGAACTACTTCAAGTGGTCTTCAAGACCACAACTAGCGGTCTTCATGGTCACTTTTAATGATCATCAGGACCACTTCTAGTGGCCCTCATTACTACATCCAGTGGTTCATTACCATTGTTTCGACTGGTACTCAGGACTTCTTCTAGTGGCCTTCAGGACTGCTTCTAGTGGCCTTCAGAACCAACTCTAGCGGTCTTCAATATCAATTCTAGGGGTCTTCAGTATCACTTGCAGGGGTCTTCAAACAACTGCAAGTGGTCATCAGAACTACTACAAGTGGTCTTCGAACCACAATTAGCGGTCTTCATGGTCACTTTTAGGGATCTTCACGATCACTTCTAGTGGCCCTCAATAATACTTCTGGTGGTCCTCTACCACTGTTCCTACTGGTCTTCAGGACCACTTCCAGTGATCTTCAGAACCATTTCTAGCGGTCTTCAGGATTGCTTCGAGTGGTCTTCAAGACCACTTCTAGGGGTCATCATGGTAACTTGTAGTGATCTTCAGAACTATAGAAAGTGGTCAATAAGACCACAGTTAGTGGTCTTCATGGTCACTTTTAGGGATTTTGAAGATCACTTCTAGTGGCCCTCAACACTACTTCCGGTGATCCACACTTTTTGTGGTCTTCAGGACCAATTTTAGTGGTTTTCAGGATTGCTTCCAGTGGTCTTCCAGACCACTTCTAAGGGACTTCAAAACAACTGTAACTGGCTACTTCGAGTGGTTTTCAAGATCACAACTAGCGGTCTTCATGGTCACATTTAAGGATCTTCACGACCACGTCTAGTGGCCCTCAACACTACATCTACTGGTCTTCAGG